TCGGGGCGCCAGAAGTAGACAAGGCAAAGAGACGGTCCCACCACTTCGGGATCGCCTTCAACCATTGCAGTTCATTGGTCGCTCCAGGTCCAATATGTGCGCCAAGGTAGACACCAACATCAGCAATCAAGAAGTTACTCCAAGCTGGAATCTGTTCTGCCAAGAAAAAGCGAATCACAGACCGTACCTGATCGTCAAGAGCAGCCCAAAGGGGGATGATCACACACTTGGTCACATTGATGGCGAGGTGGCCGTACTTTTCTGCGCAGTCGAAGACCTGGTGGATCTTGGGCAGGAGACGCAAATGGTTCAGGTGAACGCCTAGATCGTCAGCGCATGCGGACGCAGAGCCTTCTTCTTCGGTCGGGAGAATCTCGGCAATCGCTCTGAGAATGACATCCATGGCGATGGCCCATATGGTACCAGAAAGAGGGCAGCCCTGCGCGACACCAGAGCGCATGTAGCACACGAAGCGGTAGGCGCCGTCCAGCGTGATCATGGCCTGGCCACCATCGTAGAGGGCACGTACGGCATTGATGAAGCCCTCGGCATACTGAAAGTTAGCGAGCGCTGCAAACAACCACTGCCTTCCCAGCGACGGGAAGGCCGCCGCAATGTCGAACAGGATCTGGACTGGATGTTCTGACCCAGCAGATGGCCTCCATCCAGCAATCCTCCCCAGCGTGTCCATGATCATTATGTTATTGCAGAAGTTGCGGCCTCTGATGAAGCCTTGTTGTATAACGTGCGCCCGTTGCTCCACGATAGTTTTCATCTGCTCGTTGATGGCCGCCGCGAAGATCTTGGAATCGGTGTTCTTCCTGGAGATCGGCCGCAGGGCCGCAGCAAGCCGAGTGCAGGTAGTGTTGTCCATCTCCTCCGTGCCCTTGGGAATGAACGAGAACAGTGAGTCATTGAAAGAGAAAGGTGCCACTCCAGTCTCCATCGCCTGCCATGCGATGTCATCTAGCGCGTCCAAGGCACCCGGCGTCGCCGTCCACGCTCGATACGGAAGTCGGTCCGGACCTGGTGCTGATGCACGAGCACGCTGAGCGGCACGTCGGAGCGCCGCAACCGAAGGAAGAACCAAGGCAGGTGGTTGAAAAGGAGGAGGCGCGTGCCGAGCAACAAACTCCTTCATACCAATCTCGTCGACGGGCTTGTCGGCAAAAATCGGGAGCCAGTGCTTCTGCAGCTCGTCCAGCATGTCCTGAGGTGATTTGACAACGGTGTCGGAGTCAGGGATACGAATGCCGACCAATGTGAGAATACGTGCAAACGGGGCCCAAGCTCGAGCACGACGCTGTAGAATGCGTGCTTGCTTCTGTTGGTGTTCAGCATCAGGCGCTCGTTGGGCCAGTGCGGCTCGACGGGCAAACGTCAGCGCACGCTCCTTTCTTTTGATAAAGTGTTGGTGGTGGGCAAGACGTGACATTTCTGCGAACTCCACCTCCGAGCGCAGCGAGACATTGCCTTCCTCGATGCTCAGGAACTGCTCACCAAGCGCGTTGAACGACATTAGGGCCCCCGCAAGCTCGAAGTCCTGCCGCCATACCGCTCGAGAGATGGAGCGCAGGGCCAGCAGCTTAACTTCATCAGAGAACTGAAAACGACGTCCTCCAGGCAATTCAAGGAGATGATTGCGTGTAAGTCGAGCAGCTTGGACCATGTTGTCTTTTGTGATTTTCCACAGCATAGGCGGGCTTGCGCACTTAGTGCGAGAACAGGACATCAAGCGCTCATAGAACTGCTGGTAGAGCGGGGTCTGGAACAAGAAGTCAGGGATCTGTTGAACTTCATCAACCTTGGGCCTGGCCGTCGCTATGGTAAGCCCCAAGATCGCATGGTCACTAAGCCGTCGGTCACTCAATAGTGTCGGGTCAACCAGCACTGCCAACTTCAGCGAGAGATTGGGAATAGCATGTGGGGGGAGCGAAGTGAAGACTCTATCAATTCGCGTTTGTCGAAGTGTATGTGGATCAAAACGAGTTGGCTCACCAGTCGTAACTTCCGTCAACAAACCAAAGAGGCGTCGCCAGAACGCCTGCTGGAATGCATCTCCTCGAACAGTAGGGAGTAGAATTGGAGCAGGCGTGACGAATGACACAGCTGGTTCATCGTGAATATTGAAGTCGCCCATGGCAATGAAGATCCTCGATCTCGGCGACGAAGAGGCCCATGCAGCATAGCGTCTCCATTTGAGGTCTATCTCCTTGCGATGACGAATGGTGAGGTCAATGTTGTGGATATTCATAACGACACCAACACAAGAAGAGCCAGCAAAGATCTCCGCAACCTGGACGCGCCCAACTGCGAGGACAGTGTGGACAATCGTGAGCTTCTTGCCAGAGGTGTGTATTCGGTCCGCTGGTAGCGTCGGTACCCACGTCGCAGTCGTTCTCAGCGGACGGTGGTCTTCAGCATCCCGTGGGAGGTCTTGAAACCGACACCCGGGTGACGAAGAAGAGGTGGGTGAAGAAGAGGAACTCGAGGAGGAAGAAGATGTAGCATTGCCCCCATCCAGACTGGACGACGCTCGTGATGTAGAAACCGAAAGCGTCCTAGCCCGAAATGCCCCGCCAGATTTTGCTTCCCACAAACCCCGCCCTCCCCCCGCCACAGGTGAAGAGCAGCACCCCGAGGAGCCAGAAGCCGTCGACGTCGGGGCCTCCGCTGCGAGATCTGCGATATCGATGGGTTGGCCGAGGGCGTCAGCTTTCGGGATCAGCATGGCCACTCCACCAGTGCTCGCAACTCCGCCACCACTGTAGAGGACATGATATTTGAAGGGTAGGGCTCCAACTGCTCGGCGAAGGCGTGGACCAGACCCGTGAACTTCTTGGATCAAGATGAGGTAGTTCATGCGCATGCATTGTTTCAGCAACTCGAACTTCTGTTTTCGCTTCTTGGTATTGATCGTGAGGAGGCCCCTAGCGTTCCACGACACCAGCTTGAACTGGGAGGGCGACGCGTAGGAGCCAGTGATGCTACCCCCACGACACTCCTCTGTCCTCGGCGAAGAAGTCGTTGAAGGCGTGCTCGATAGCGGCAGTGTCGATGTGAAGCTTCGTGGCCTGGGCATAATTCCAGATGATCTTGGTATCGATGTTGGCCGCAGCGCCCACGTCCAGACGCACCAAAGGCACGCCCACCGCAGAAACACGACCTTTCTGTTTGAAGGGGCGGAGGTCGATGTCGGCCTTGGATTCCTTGAGAAGGAGGTGCAAGCGTCTAGTCTGGATCTCTCGTCTGATCTGTCGCGGGCTCCTGTCTGTCGAGACATACAAGGGTATCGTTTGGCCCGCAACCGACATAGCCGAGAACTGGCGCCAGCTGCCACCCGCGAGCTTGAGGGCACGAGCCAGTGCCACCGCTCTCGGAGAAACCACAGCAGGGCCGCCAAGAAGACGAAGAATGAAACGTCGGGCAGGTACATCACCTTGAAGCGTGGCCGTGGAGATGTCGACTCCAGAATCCCTGAACCAACCCACGAGGGCCTGCTGAACCAGCTGCGGGGCCACAATGTCTGGAGCTCCAATGGAGAAGACCGCGGGGTCAGGCGGCCTGTCGAAGTCGGACTCGGCGATGACATCGGGGACCGCCGTCTGCGCTTCCGCGATCGCCAACGCCTTCTGGATGGTGTCGATGGCTTCCTTGTGGCGTTTCTGCTCGGCCTCGGAGTCCTGGATCCTCTGCTTGAGCTGCGCCAACTCGCTCTCGTTCGCGTCGATACGTTTCGCCATGGCAGCCTGCTCCGCATGGATCGCCGTCGCCACCGTGATAGCCGTGGCGCGTTTGAACTCGGCCATGGCGGAGTCCACGTGCTCCGTGAGCTGCCTGTAAAGGGACTGGTGGATGGCCTCCACTGTTCCTGGGGCGGCCTCCACAGCTGGACCAGCGCCTGCTGCAGCGGCGGAGGGTACTCCTGCGGCACCAGGTGTGGCGGTACCAGCTGCTCCTGCTCGCCAGGGGTCGGCATGATGAAGGGGATCATCAGCTGGTTGGGTGGGGAAGGCCTCCAAGTCTCTGGCGATCGATGCAATCTGCGACTCGGTGAGGGCTGGGTAGGGCGCCGTCGCACCGCCTGCTGCAGGAGGCGGTCCACCAGCGGGTTCACTTGGTCGCTGGGGATGCGGTCGATGGTCTGCAGCAGCTCGCTCGTCTCGGTCTCCGCGCCATCCGTCTCGACGTCGGTCCCGCTCATGCCGACGCTCTCGCGGCTCAGCAGGGCGAGGTCTGGCACTGTCGTAGTCCCGAGGAGGCCGCCGCTCTCTCCGCGAACCCCCACTGCGCGAGGTGCGCGACTTGTCGTGGTCAGAATCACTGCCCGACATGATGGCAACACCAGTGCCAGCAGCACGCCGAGGATGTGGACGAGGAGCCCCTCCTGGCAGCGGCGGCGGCAGCGGGGAGCAGCGCACATGAAAGAGCAACGAGGACTGGATGGGAGCCTACCCCGCTTAGGCAGTGAAGGAGTAACCATTCTGGCTCTTGAGCCAAAATGGCTACGGGGGAGGAGGAGGACGAGGAGGAGGAGGAGGAGGCTGGCCCCCTGGAGCTCTCGGCCCCCGCTCTCCCCTGGAGCTCTGGCCTCTCGTCCCGGGGCGCTGCCCTCCGACGGAGCGCTGGGGCTCGGAGGCGGCCGCCGAGGGTTCGGCCTCCAAACTCTCAGAGACGCCCACGGCGAAAGACGACCGAGCCGCCAGCAGTGGCGGTGGCGTCGTCGTCGTCGTCGTCGCCGTCGTCGTGAACGTCGTCGTCGTCGTCGTCGTCGTCGTCGTCGTCGTGGTCGTGGTCGTGGTCGTGGTCGTCGTCGTCGTCGTCGTCGTCGTCGTCGTTGTTGTCGTGGTCGTGGTCGTGGTCGTCGTCGTCGTCGTTGTTGTCGTGGTCGTGGTCGTGGTCGTCGTCGTCGTCGTCGTCGTCGTCGCCGTCGTCGTCGTCGTCGTGGTCGTGGTCGTGGTCGTCGTCGTCGTCGTCGTCGGGTCTCTCGGCCCCCGAGCCTTCCCGCGCCGGCGGGCAGCTCTTGCACGCCAGCGGCAGGGAGGCGCCGCGCGCGCACGTCGCAGGGAGCCCTCCCCCGCAGGATCTGGACACGAGTGGTTGCGGAGAGCGGGGAGGGCAGAGGAGGGGACGAGACAGGACGGAGGAGGGGCGGAGGGATGAGCACGGAGGAGGGAACACGGAGGCTCGCGACGGAGGAGGACCGAGGAAGGAGGAGGCGGACGGAGGAGAGGGGGAAAAAGGATGAGGGAAGAAGGACGGAGAAAAGAGGGAAAGAGGAAACGAGGCAGGAGGAGGAGGAGAAGGAGGAGGAGGAGGAACGGGGAGGACGACGGCGAGGAGAGTGACAGAGGAGGTCGGAATATTGCTCCTCTTTTGCAGCGCGGCTGCCACGTATCCTGCAGCAGCGTCGCAGCCACCAAACCCGTGAGGAGAACGGTGGAGGTGGAGGAGCCGATAAACCGACCCAACACGCACCACGGACTCTGAAATTCGCGCTCTCGTCATCCGAGCCCAAAGACCTGCCACTGATCACGTCGAGCACCCGCCGGAAAAGGTGAGTGCCCCGTTGGCCTGCATCGTGAAACCCCAGCGTTCGCCATCAACGAATATTGCGAGGCAAATCCTGGGAGGTCTTCGTCAGAACGTTGAAGGGCTATTAAGCCCGACTCGGGGGCCACTGGACCCGATGAGGCCAGGATCAAGCCAGGGGATTCGACGAGATTTGGCCAGTTTTCGACCAGGGGTATACCAACGCCAGTTCTGAAGTTCACTCCCCAGAAGCCGCATCCTAACGAATGTTCCCCAACCAGGGCCACGAGGCACCTTTAAGGATATTCTCGCAAGAGCAATCTCGAATTACAAAGCCAACTTACGAGGCCCATTGAGCCGAATGAGCCCACATAAAAAGAACAGGACTAAGGTGGATTATGCGGGCGGGCGCCTGCATTCCACCTCACGCTGAGTTTAACCTCCCGGGAATTGCATGCTAACCAGTGCTTGCACTGAGGGTCTTCGCCAAGGTCGTACAGATGTGGCGACGGGGGCGCTTCGGGTGGCACGTAAACGACAGTACGACTGTAAGCAGACACATCACCCCCCTCCTTCCGCCTCGCATCCATCCCCATTTTGTTGTCGGGACGCCTGGCTGTCTGCGCAGAGCAAAGGGGAGAGAGGGATGAGGACGAGGAAGAGGAAAAGGAGAAGGACAAGGAAACAGGATAGCCACGGGAAAGCGGGAAAGGAGGAGAAGGATGGACAAAAAGAGGAGGAGGAGAAGGATGAAAAGGAGGAGGAGGAGGAGGCGGAGGAGCGCCCGTAAGACAGGAAAAGGAGGATGATGAGGAGGGAGGGGGGAAGATAGGGGAGACGGATCAGTGAAAGATGATGACCATGAGGACCGACGTGTAAAGAGGACAGATAACAATACCCTCCTCCTCGATCCTCTGTCCGCCGCGATCGGAACAAAAATCGTGGACGCTCCTCCTCATCCCCCAACGGTCCTCTGTGACCCCTGGCCCTCCTCCTCGACCCGATGCTCCTGGTACTGTTCCACGATCGAGCGGAATTCGCGGATGTCCACGGTGGTGTAAGCGGAAACCTGTTGGGCGGGCCCGCAGCGTGGAGCCGCTCCCGCCCAATCCCCTCCACGTCCTCGCACCGGATCCAGGACGGGACGACGACGATGACGACGACCAGCACCACCACCACCAACACGACCACCACAACGCGCATGTTGGATGCCCCAATGGGGGGGGTGCTGCGTAGGCCCGACGACGACGGATTACTGTTATTAGCGGGGGATCCTTCGCGAAGGACCCAACCCTCAGGGGGTATTTTCGCGAATGGTTTTCCAAGATTCCGAGGGCTCCTCGGGGAGAGAGGGAACGGGAGTGGGAGGCGAAGGCGCCAAACCAATCACAATATCGCCATATCTTAAGGTGGGGTTCCAGTGGTTACAGTCAGGTGAGAACTGTTGGTACTAAGGTCTTGGATTGCATGTTGACAGATCGGAAGCGCACACACGCGCACGCGCGCACGCGCGCACACGCGCGCGCACGCGCATGCGCACGCGCACGCGCACGCGCTCAGGATCGTGTTCGGGCTGCTCGGGCTCGGGCTGCTCGGGCTCGCCCGTGCACGCAAACGTACGCGAACTGCCTCCGTCTGGGAGTGAGGCGCGACTGCAAAGTTAGGACCCCCGCCCCCGGGCCCTCTCTGTTGCATACCCCTTTCCCCGCCCTGTCTACTTTCGAAGCCCGTAAACGAGGTGAGGTTCCAGCGCCAATTCTTTACAATGGGCAATGGTTTCAGCAGCTACTGTTGACAAAAAAGGATGGGCTCCAACGCCGAATGTTTACGAGGGACAATGGTTACAGCAACCCACGGTGTGGGCTCCAGCATCCAAGTTTGCCGATGGAACATCGTTCTAGCAGATTTTGCCGACAAGGAGGATGGGCTATTTTTGAAAAGGGCAGCTCGATAGACCTGCACCCCAGCCACGAGCCCACCCATGCTCGCCTCAAGCTCGCGCTCGGGATCGGGCTCGGGGTCGAGGGTCGGGCATGGGTTCGCGCCCGAACTTTCGCGCGCGCGCGCGAACGCGCACGCGCACGCGCACGCACGC